GTGTGTGTGTGTGCTTCCTTGCTTTTTGGTTGACATTCTCCTGAAGGAACCTATTGGCTCCAGGACTATTGCTGTGTGTCCTGGGTGGGCGGGTGGAGGCGATTTCCATGGTAATCACGCAGTTCTCACGGTTACCCGGTGGGGCTGAGTCCAGAATTATTTCCATTTCATGGATGAGGAGGTTGAGCTCTGGAGGGTTAATAAAGAGCCCGGGTCACCTGCTGTTGAGGGGGGAGCAGACTCGCTGCCCTCCGTCAGGGGTGATGACCCTGGTGACCAGCCAGATGGGCTCACCTGAGGGACGAGAAACACCAGCTGTGCCGGCAGGCTTACGTCCTGGCATCTCCCATACTTTCACTTGTGGGGGAGGGACATGGGGAAGAGCGAGGGGGGATGGTGTCCTGAAGCCTTGGTTCCCCCTGTGGAATCAGGTTGTGTTTCTCTTTCTGTTGACCCAGGTTATTCAGGTGCCTCAGGGCAAATACAAAGTGTTGCCCACAGAGCGGACCAAGGTCAGTTCCTACCCGGTGGCTCTCATCCCAGGGCAGTTCCAGGAGTATTACAAAAGGTATGTAGTGGGTTTTTTCTGTTAGTATTGGCTGTGGGTGAGGGACTTCAAAGCCTTGTGTTTGCTTCCTGGCAGTCTCTGGCTCTGTAAGTGTCATCCTGAGATGTCATGTTACATTTGTGTCACTAGTCTCCATCCTCCGTGGTTTGGTGATGGTAGATGCTCTTCACCAGAACGTGAGCATCTCTAACAAGCCAGCTGCACACCTGTGTGTCTGTGCCCAGGTGCTGGCTTCCCCAGCCCATGCCCTGAAAGCGTGCTGGTATTGCCTGGCCACCAGGACGTGCAGGTTCTTGGGGCCCATGCTGACCTGTGCCTGGAGCTCTGCATTCACAGACGCCAAGGGGGGCTGGGGTCACGCAGGGGGCGCCGAGGGTTCCAAGGGACTGGGTGCTGCCGTTGCCAGGCTGCTGCTCCTCTGCCCTTCCCAACCTGGGTGTCGCTGCCAACGGCCCCTGCATCCCGGTGTCATGTCTCAGCTTTTCCTTCATAAGAAACCTCGTGTTCCTTAGATGACAGGATTTAAAAGACTGGGGTCAGACTACTTGAAAGTCAAATTTAAATCACGGGTTGGCAAATTTTAATTTTTGAACTTTGGGCTAAGCAAGTGGTGAAGAGTGACCCACGGCATGCCCGCCCTGTGCTCTCCAGCGCGGCACCTGGGGAGGGAGTTCTTAGGCTGCGGCCGCTGGCCCAGGTTGCAGAGTGCCCGCCGGCCTGGGAGGGTTGCCAGTCCCCGGGTTCAGAGTAATCAGATGATTCAGTTTGTTAGAATATATGCTTCCCAAATTGGTTTAAAATAATTTGTTCCTGAAAATTCTGTTTCTTAAGTGATGCCATGTCCCGGGCACTGCTCAGGGACACCAGAGCTTGGGAGGGAGGCAGCGCCCAAGCCCTGGCTACTGGGGAGGGTGGGAGGTGCAGGTGGTCGGCACGTGGAGTCTGTGCATGATTCTGTATGTACGGCTTCATCTTGTCCGATGACATTTTTTGAGAAGGAGGTGGTGTTGAGGGCAGAGGAGAGATAAGAATCAAACGTGTATTTTACACCCTTAGTCTGCTGGAAAAATGTTTAGGTTTTTTTATTTATTACTTGTCCCTATTTGATCACCAAAATGAAAAAAAATTATTTATTGTCTCTGATTATTTTTCAGAAGTATTTGGGGTTAATTGAAAAGATCAGGCTATTTTTGTAGTCAGAAGTCGGTCTTTTTATATTTAACAATAAAGGAAAACTGAACCTCCTCCCTCTGCACTTCAGGTACTCACCAGATGAACTGCGGTATTTGCCGTTAAACACGGCGCTTTACGAGCCCCCGCTGGACCCCGAGCTCCCTGCTCTAGACAGTGACGGTGACTCCGACGAGGCGGAAGACAGTCGGGGTGATGAGAAACGGAGAAGTAAAGGCACTTCGGTGAGGGCGGTTTTCTTCAGTCAGAGGCTTTCCTTTCCCTTTGAATTTTTGCTGATTGCTTTCCTGGAGTGTCAAATTGAGTTCGTATTACTGCCCTCTTTTGGGAAAGGGGCGGTTGCATGTAATTTCCAGAAAGCTTTCACCAAGAAAAGTTATTTATCGTGTGTGTTGATATGGACTAGCTGTGTGCCGCCTTTGGTAAGTTTTATACTTAAAATTGCCTCTTTGTAGTTTTCATAAGTGGGTTAGGTACGGGACCCAACATTAGTTCATAATCTTATATATAAGTATCTTGGGTTGGGAGAGCACATTAACTTGTGTTCCTGCTGCTTAATTAATCGTCTTCAGCTTCTTCTAGGAAAACGTTAAGGTTACCGGTATGTTGGGCTGTTCGGTGGGTTTTCCTGCATGACTTTTGTGGTAGCAAAGTGCAGTTCAGGACGGGGGTGAGTTGGTTGCTCTGTGGAACTGAAGGAGTGTGGGAGCGACCCGGTGCAGGGTTCTGGTTTCATTTGGTGCTGCTTGTTCTCCAGCTGCCGTTTTTAACTTTTCCATCGCCAGTCTGAACCATGAGGCGGGTGCTGCACTTCTTTGCTCCTAGCAGCTTTTGACAAGTGTTTAATGGCATGTGCTGCATAAAGTAAGATGCTCTTCAGATATTCAAGTGGTGACATGCTTTTCTCCCGTCACTTTGGTGCACGGAGTGCTTTGGCATGGTGAGGGTGTGATGAGGTCAACCTTCTCCCCCACTACTAGCAGGCATGTAAATTAATTCATTTTGGGCCAAAAGAGAGTATTTACCAAGATTTTTAACTTCCATGAAACTTGACTTAGCAAATACACTAATACAGTTTATCAGAAGAACCTAACCAGCTGGCAACCAAATTTAATGAGGAAAACAAGTCCATTGGAGTGTTAATAGTGTTTTCTATAATGGAAATGAGAAATAAATCTGTCGTCCACAGTGGGTAGTATGTTACACTTACCTGATTGAAACGGAGGTCAAAGAATATTTAATGACGTGATGAAGTGCACACAGTAGTTAAAAATGCTCAGACACACATGCACACATACATACAACGTAACTCAGTTTTGTTTTCAAGACCGAGGGCACGCGCGTGGGTAGGGTTTGTGTGAGCGCGCGAGTCGGGGGTCTGTGAGTACAAACACAGACCTCGATACAGCACGTTCCCGCAGCTGTCTCAGTGCTCGTCAGGGTGGTTGTGGATAACGTAAGTTTTCCATTTGCAGTTTTCACAATTTATGTGAACATAAAATTTTAATTCTAATCAGAAAATTTTAAATTAGAAAGTGAAGAATTAAATGATCGATCATTGAACTCCCCAACTTTGAGCATCTAAAATATGTCAGATTCTGTTATGAATACTTGGCCGTATGGGGCAACCCCACGTAGTGCTAGACAGTATTTTGTATGAGCAGATACACTCCCTCGTGACACAGTGAAATGGTGTTGAAGCCGTGCGGTGTAGTGAACAGTACTGGAAGTAGTAATTCTGTTCCTGTTGCCGAAGCCAGAAAGCAAAGTTGATTGAGGCCCTTGCTGGTGTAAACGGAACTGGCTTTCTGCTGTAATACATTTGTAAGATGGATAAATTGCTTCTAACATGACTCGCTTTAGTCTCCATTGGACAATGTTTTCTTAATTAGAATTACCTTTTTAGTTTTAAATGGATGGAACTCTGAAACCCTCTTGGGATATTTTCTGTGCTTCAAAGCGGACTCCAGTCTGTGTGAGTTGCAAGGGACCTTTGTTTGTGCCTCTGACTTGCAGGACAGCTCCTCCGGCAACGCATCCGAGGGAGAAGGCCTTCCAGACGGCCAGGAGGAGCCTCTGCCGGGAAGACAGCGGTCCAGGGACAAGGCCACTACTCCAAGAAAAGACGCTTCCAAGCGTTCTGTACTGTCCAAGTCAGTTCCTGGGTACAAGGTAGAAGAAAAAAGCCCCTGACTCAGCCTCCTTCCCGACAGCCTCTCTCCCTGAGATACTTGCACTTTGAGCCTCCGAGTTGCGGAGCCCCGCCTGCCACCCCCTCGCTGTTCTTTGCGGTGTGTGTCCTCTGTCACAGCCTCCTTCCTTTCGCTTCACCTTCCTGGTGGCTTTTCTGTCACTCTGGCTATGGTGTAGCTTCTGTTTCCTGTATGTGTACGATTTATAAGGGAATTTTTTTTCTTTTGAATAATAACCAGGCAAGTATGGGTTTTTAAAAAATTCTCTCACAGGCAGAACTTTGTGCTTGTTTCCTCGGGCTGAAAATCCCGGTTGTCTGACACTGAAGGTGCCCTGATCTTTGGTGCTGGCTGAGAAGCAGGGAGGGGACCTGCTGGCGTGAGCTGCGCGCCCGAGGTGCCTTTTGTTTAGAAAGGCCTGGGTTTGCTCTAGGGACCATCTGACTGACGTGGCAGACTCAGCTAACTCTGTGATGGCACATGGTACAGCTTGTCGTTTGCACGGCGGTGATTTCTTGCCCCCCCGGGCAGAGGGCCTGAGCAGCGCCAGGGCGGGGGCCCCCCGCTCGGAGGGTGGTCTGGGTAGGTGTGCTTGTTAGCCGACTGGTCTGGTTGCTCTCAGAGTCCGGCTGTCGGCTGCTGTCAGCACTGTCACTGTGACTGCTTCCTTCCGCTGTCTGCCCGCCCCTCAGAGGGCTGGTGAGCGGTGAGCAGCCTTCCCGCTTACGGGGACTGAAGAATGTCACTGAAGGAGCAGAATTAGTGGCCGTGGTGACAGGGAAGTGAGTGTGTATCAGGTGTGCTTGTTACCTGGTCATGGAGGTGTTTGGAAGAGCGTTCTAGAGCAAGGTGATGAGACAGCTTTGTGAAGTGGAGCTGCCTGACCCCGAGTATGTCCGAACCGGGGCCATGGCGGGTGGCCCGGAGCAGGCCCCAGCGGGCCCTGGCCAGTGTCCCTTCAGCCTCTCCTAGAACCTCCAAGCTGTCCGCTTGCCTCTCTTTTCCCGAAGTGAAAAAGCAGCTTAACAGAGGAGTGTGTTCCGCACCTAATTAGAAGATGCCTCTCCAGCATCCGCTGACCAGCCCGTGGCGAGCGAGGCCTCACTCAGCAGGGGCGGCTTCAGGAGGCCGTAGCCACCCGGCCTTTGTTCTTGTTCTCACATAAGTAGCTTATCTACTTTTTAAACTAAAGATTTGAATTACTGCTTAATAACTGAAAGCAGATGGACTCCAAAGATGACATTCTGGGAAGTTAGCCTGTGTGTGTGCTGAGCAGCGCGCGTCTGGCGGAGGAGGGCTCGCAGGGGAGCTGCGGCTCCGAGCGTGGTGCCGCTAGGGAGCTGGACTTCCAGACTCGGGCCTGGGCCCCCCTGGCTTAACGGAGAAGGAGGGCTGAAACAGATGTTCTAACAGGCTGAAAATGAAGAACTAGTCAGTCCTATCGTTGACTTAAGATAGAAGAAATCATACAGGTTAACCTAAATTGATAGTCCTCAAGGGGTCTGACATGCAAAATGCACATTTTATAATTTTCTGTGAACATTTTTAGTACCTAAAAATGTTTCAGGTATTTCAAAGTTTGGAACAACCAGTATCTAGACTTAATACATTAATGTGAACATGTTTGTTAAAAGTTAACCTCTCTATGAAAAGTATGAATAAGCCAAGATGTGCCTAAATCTTAGGGTACTTCAAGCTGAAGGTGATACATAAATACGTTTTAAAATATGGGAGCTAAGAAAAAATATAATGTATCCGATGTCTTGCGTAGTAAGATTCACTAGTGCTTGCTCTTAATGTGTAGGACAGGATTGTTTAGGTTACATTAACCTGGAATTAAAGCATAATTATCAGGATTCAGGCCTATGTTATAGGTATGTAATCAAATTCTGTACTATAACAGTGCTACCATGAAAGTCTCACTGTCTCTGGTGACTTTTCAAGTAGGAAAGTGAGTGTATTATGAGCCTTTTCTCTGAGTTGCTGAGACTTCTTAGGGAGAGTATTTAATTTTCTTGTCAGTAGTGAAACTTGGATGTTTTCGCTGTTACGAAGTAGAGCTGACTGTCTCCAGCAGACGTACGTAGGGTTCTGTCCCGCTGACCTCAGGGGAGTCCACACCCCGCTCCCTTCCTCCTCTGCCAGCTCTGCATTGGAGCTGGGGGTGGTGTGTTCAGTCCTGGGAGCGAGTGGTGTGGCTCCTTAGGGGGTCAGGGTGCTTGGCGAGCACGAGCTGTGGCGAGCTGTGGCGTCACCGTCATCGTCGGAGATGCCACAAGGCTCTGTCTCCGTCCCCACCCCGTCCCTCCCTTCTCCACCTCACCTCTCCCTCTTGTCATGAAGATGAAGACTATTGGGTAAGAAAGCTTTTAAGTGGTTTAACAAAACATTATGGTTTTAAGCTTAGACGTAAACGTAAGATTTTCTCGGTGTCCCTTTTATCATAGGTGTTCAATGTATTTTTTAGTAATTGTAGAACTTGAACTGCACTAGAATGTGAATGACTAGCTTTGTGTCTCACTCCTTTTGACTTCTGTAAAGAATCTCCCGTGAGGAGTTCTCATTTGAGAGCTGAATGCCGTGTGGTTACTTCCTTGACTTTCCTGACAAATATTAAAGTATGTAGTGTGCCAGCGTCTTCCCTCGAACTGTAATAAGTATTGAGTAAGCGTAGCGTTTCCGTTTAGCGCCGGTACCACAACCGGAAGTTCTTCATTTTGGTGGAGTGAGGGGTAGCTTTCTGCAGCATATTATGGCAGTTACAGATTTGATATAACCGAATCAGAAAATCTGGATCATAGAAGTGCACTTCCTAGCTGTTTTTATTTAGGTGCAGGAAACACAGTGAGAACTTACGCATTAGAATGTAGCAGTAACAGCAGAGGGTGGCTACACTGCAAGGCATAAGGGGCCGCAGCATGTGACACTGTCCTTTTGTTGGGGTAGCAGGGTGGAAAGGCACACAGGAGATGGAGACTAGTCGATGGTAAAGCTTTATATGTGTGTTTTAACTTCCATGATATTTATTATTTTGTGGAGACACTTGTGATTGTTTAGAGTTACTGTTTTTATTATATTTATGTATAAGGTTGACTTTTTAAAATAAATAAGTCAAAAATTATTTTTGAATGCCTCTGTCATCTTTTGTAAAGAAAGATAAGTAAAAAATAAAAAACCTAAAGAATTAAGAACAAATTGTTTGGCTGAACAGATTTGGAAGGTGGCAGTGAGATATTTCAAAGCTGGAGTAATACTGTATACAAGGTTGGAATTTTGTTTAGGCTCCTCTTTAGTTCAGTACCTGAGGAAAGGGAAATAAGATGTGTTTGGCCAGGCTGTAATAAAACAGAAATGTTTCTACTTAAAATACTTCTCCTCCCAGTTTTTGTGTAAACGAGTGAGTGAGTGAATGGGTGTCGCTCCGGCCCCACCTCACCCTTGGCCCCTGCTTGTTCTCTTTTCTGTCTGCTGCTCCGTATTCACACAGGTTCACGGTGAACATCGTGTCATTCTTGTCCAGGCTGTGATGTCCGAGTGTTCCCCAACCCCCGAGTCTCAGGTGCAGCGAACCTCCTCTTCTTCATCCTTTTCTGTGTTGCCAAGTGCTCTTTTAAAACCTAGAGTGCCTCTATTGGATTGTAGTTTTTAATCTGAAGGATGAATGGTACTTAAAGCACAGGGTTGGCCTCCTTTTGTTAAGTGGTAATTTTTTTTGCTTATCTGGAAACTGCTTTTCGCCTGTATGTTTCCTGCGTCATAGTGAGCGCCTTTTCCCTGAGTGTAGGCTCCTTTATGAATGTATTGGGTCTGCAAAGGGAGTGTCGCACAACTCTGTGTCCCACAAACATTTATGCACATGACAGTGTATGCACGAGGCATTTCAATTAAAAATGTTAAAACATTGATTTTATAGATCTAGTTTCACAATTTTGGAAAATAGGGGTTTCTAAACAGAATTGGCATATAAGCTGCTTAAAATGGGGTCTTCTCTTTTGTAATGAGCCTCAATAACTTCCATGTAATGGTGCTTGGTACTCGGATTTTCTCTCAGTTAACAGGGTGGTTGGACGGGGTGTCGGTCCTCCCCTCCGGTTCACGATACAGATCCCACCAGGCACGTAGGGAGCGTAGATGCTACATTTAATCCCAGAGTGAGATCACGCCATTGACAGGATTTAAAGATGAAATATAAAGCTTTAGTCAGTAGGCTTTGTTGAAGGAGACTCGTGTCAAGCTATGTCTTTCATAAAGGTTAGGAAGGTGCTGCAAGTAAAAAGGTAAGGCAAGATAGTGTGCTTCCTCTTGACCCCAGAGTCAGTTCTTCTGGCATGAATTCATAGCCCTCTTCTACCCTTCCAGCCAAAGGTCATTCCAAATGCTCTATGTGGAATTTGTCTGAAGGGTAAGGAGTCCAACAAGAAAGGGAAGGCTGAGTCACTGATACACTGCTCCCAGTGTGATAACAGCGGTGAGTACTGGCGCATCCTAACACCTTTCCCACCCTGTCAGTTGCTTCCGAAGCGAGGATCTGGGTTGTCAGCTAGGCTTGAACCAAAGAATCATCAAATACCCAACAGTCCATGTATCTTCCTCTGTGTTGTATTTTCGTTCCTCTGTGGCGGTTAAACATCATAGCCATTCTTGAGAAACCCAGACTAGCACTCATTATGCCATGCTAAGTTAAACGTCCTTGTGTGACACACTACTAACACTGGTTTTGGTTTAGGCCACCCTTCTTGCCTGGACATGACCCTGGAGCTTGTTTCTATGATTAAGACCTACCCATGGCAGTGTATGGAGTGTAAGACTTGCATTATTTGTGGACAGCCCCACCACGAAGAAGAAATGATGTTCTGTGATGTGTGTGACAGAGGTTATCATACTTTTTGTGTGGGCCTTGGTGCTATTCCATCAGGTAAAGATTAAAAAAGGAGCGTTTGAGCAAAGGGGCTCTTGACCTTTTTTTTTTTAAGGCTGCACGAACACCATAATGACATGAAGGCCTGTAGACCCTTCTGTTCACAAGAAGTGACCAAAGCTGTGACCATGTCCACCTGCTTTTCACCCCTAGACAAGCTGACTAAGGGACAAGTGAGACGCAGACTGTCTCGCTGAAGTTTTGGAAGTAAAGCCCAATGTGTAGCATGTTTTCCACTGAAACAGAAAAGCAGCAGCTCAGTCTGCTTCATACCTTGATTTTATTTGTGTGCGTCATTTAGACACTTAACAGAATAACTGCTACGCATTTATACACATTAAACCAGATTTCTGTAAACTGAGGCAGTATGACAATTCCAGGCAACTTCAGAATAAACAAATAGTAAATCACAGTAATTGGACTGAAACATTACACACGTAACTGTGTAATTTTAGAACTTATTTGCATAGTTAACACTGTATAGTACTTTATAAAATATATGCTTAGAACTGGGTTTCCTAGGAATCACTGAGATGCGAGCAACGCCAGTCATCCAGAGTTCTGTAGTGATTCAGACCAGGGGTGTCATATACCGTGTCACTGCTGTCAGATGCTTGATCAGCTTTAAGTGCTGTCAGCACAGCACCCCAGGACTTGAGAGGGTGCTGACACACAGCTGCCAGTGAGCAAGAGAGGAAAAGGCTGAAAATGAGCCAGACGCAGTAACAGGTTTTATGTTAGGATTTGTATGACTGAACTTTTAAAGTATGATAGTGTTTGAATTCCAGAAAGGACCGTGACAGTTTTTTGAAGGTCCCTGTGGTTATTCTGCCCCTCCCGTGACCCCTCCCTCTCCCGTGTGTCCACAGGGCGCTGATGACACTGACTACTGAAAGGGAAGTTTACATCATTTTCCCTAAATGAAGGAGCTCCTTAGTGCCCGTCCCACCACGTAGCCACTGAGGATTATCATTAGCCATAGCTAAGGACAGACAGCTAAATGGTTTAAAGTTCAGCCCTAAAAAGTTAAATTTCATTCTGTATTAATTAACAATTTTTCTCCTAGGTCGCTGGATTTGTGACTGTTGTCAGCGAGCTCCCCCAACACCCAGGAAGGTGGGCAGAAGGGGGAAAAACAGCAAAGAGGGATAGTAATTTGACCCAGTACTGTAATACGCACTTAAATGAGATATTTGGTGCCAATTTATTTACAATTCTCATTTTTATGCCAATAAAAGTTTTTTGAAATTAACTATGTGCTTAAAATCTGCAAGTTGATTATTTATTATAAGCTACTCTTACCTTTGAAACCAGTTTCAGGTAGAAAATAGTTCCCTCCTCCAGAAAGTCTTTATTCTTAGTACTTTGGCTATCTCCAGAAATTTGATGGTAGTATTAGGCAACTTAATTTGAAATGCTTAACTGTTTCTCCATTAGCCTAAAAGTTACTATTACTTTGTCCTTTCTGGCTTACCATGGGTAGCATAGCAAAGTTATCTAATAATGGAAGAATTTTAATAGGAGCCCAAGATGGTAAAATTACTAATGGCCTGATGAGATGTGATGCAGGGGAGGGTTTAGAACTGCCGTTAACTGGCAGGGGAAGAGGCCTGCCCACCAGAAATCCTGTGTGGGTAGGAGGAGCCGTCCCCGCTAGGGGCGCAGGCTTGGGGCTCTTGTCTGTGCTCAGTCAAGTACGGAGAAACCATTACATTTCAGACTTGCTTTTAGCAACTCTTAAAAGCTCAGACATTCCATATAACTGCATTTAGCGTCACTAACTAGAGGAAAAGCCTACCTCACTGTAATAACCTGTTTTGCTACCTGACAAACTTATCAGAATGGGGTTTAAACATTGTATTGTGCATATTCCTTTCACAGGACTTCTGATCTGTAAAAACACCGTGCTTGCTGCTTTTCGTACTTTGGGGTGACTGAGGTAACAAAACTATGGCTTTATTTTTCCATCTCCGACTAGAAAAGTTAACCAGAACTCCAACCAGGTCAAAGTAGCCAGGTTCGCGGTGAACCTCAGTCAGCTTCACAGACTAAGGGTCTCATTCTCCAGACTATGTTCAATGAATCAAAAAAGGATTTCCAGGACCAATTTCAGAATGCTAATTAGTATCGTCCACAGAACAGACTCCTCT